GAAGTTGTTACATTGTGGATTTGGAAGTGATGGTTTTGGGGAGAGTCTTGCTGAAAGTGGAATTGAAATTGCATTCTCTATTAAGTGTTGAATTAGGATTCAAACAGTATCAGAGGCTCGTTAAAATATATCGAAGCTGTAGCTTTTTAAGATGCTTATTAGATAAACATGTAAACTGTATTATCCGACTGCAAGTGTTTATAGGTATACTTACTTTCGGGTTTTTGTATCGCGAGATAACAAGTGAGTGAGATGTAATGTATTTAAATCATTAGCACTGACCGACGCTAATAGCGTAATCTTACCCGTTGCTTTATTCCTCATTCGACGCGTTAAAAGCTTTTATCGCGGGCGCTTCTTAAGATAGGAATATTTATTATTCAGACAAACAGTCTGGCGTTCATTATCTATTCCTGAACGTGAAAACGGATTTAAATCAATTTTCTAGCCAATAAATGTTACAGCCATTCATCATCCACTGTACAAACATTGGAGTTGAACTATGTCTATAGCGCAAGCGTATATGTATCATGAAAACTATATAAGCCCAATTCATCGTCTTCCAAGGCGTTCCCAGAACCAATTTTCGACTGGCCCGTTCCGCACGATCTTCACCGTTCTTTATCGGCGTCAATTGACCGAGAAATTGATGCCTGCAATTCGCCCTTCATCGATAAGACCTCGATTAATTAGACCGCTGGCGTAGGCGACCGTCTTCGGCGCGATCAATCATCGAGGTCACAGGGTTCCTCGCCCCGGCGGACTCCTTTTACGGCCATCTTGCAAATTGCTAGAGATAGGATCGCGTTTACTGCGACCAGGCTCGAAACTAAGTCGAAAGTTTGAAATATTTCATTGATAATTCCAAAAACGAGGAGAACAATTTTAAATTTACTGGACAGAGACTGATACTTTTATGTAGAATAGGAAAACAAAAACGCGATAAGTTCGAACCACTTGCAAATACTACAGAATAGTGCAACCTACACTCTAAAGTTCCAGATCAATAGAAAAATTATACCCTTTATTCTTTTCTAAGACAAGAAATTAATGATCGTTATTGAAGTTTCGATAATAGCTGTTTTTCAGATTTACAAATTGCCAAGACACTTCTACCGTCCCTTATAAACCGGTATGACAAAATGCTGGAGAAATTTTGGAACTCTGTTACTGAAATACATTCCTTAAGAGGGTGATGGTTTCTTCGTCGAAACGAATGAGTCGAGTGCCATTTTCATCGTGGAAAATAAGCAACGACGAAGATTAAACGTCAAGGCGAAGTCACGTTTCGTTCCCTCGGGCATCCCGCGAGGCAGACATCTTCTAAGTCGGTCTAATCTCGCTGGAAAGGGGTTTCAGAGGAAAAAGTAAACTGTACCGGGGATCGATATCGACGTAAAAGGCGCCGGGCGCCGCCTACTGTCGCGGCGGCTGCGAACCTCGATTCACGAAGTCACGCGGAAAGATGATTGCTTCCTTCGACGACATCCTGGGACCGGAATTAAGCGCCGTTGTTCAGATACGGATACGGACGCGTATATATACTCACGGACTGTATTTATTGCGGGCTGCGTCGTCATCTTCCGTTAGGGGATGAAGGATGTTGCGCCATTGTGCAATTTCGTGGAAATTTATCGTGTCCCTTCGTCGCGGAAATTTGCTTCTTGCGTAGATTTTAGGGGATGGAAGGATTGAGATGCTTTTCATATTTTTATATAAATTAATTGCGGAGGTTCTTAATTATTTTATGGGAAGTTTGGGGTAAGTTGGTGAATTGAAGAAATCATCTGGTGTTCATGTTAGGGGATCTTGTTATGTAGTTGGAGGTTAATCCTTTCGAAATTGGCTATTATCGTTGCAGAAAATAGTATGAAGGTGTAGAAAAGTGTGCTGAGAAAAGTAGAACGATGACAGATAGAAACTGGCAAAGATGTAATGTAACAAAGACGAGAACAGAAGTTACAAAACCGAAAATTACATGCATTTTAGTTATTAGCACCGTTTTTCATTCGAGACAATCAAGCACTTTGTGCAACAACTGTTGGGTGTTTATGCTCACAGTTTTTCACTGCCTTCGATCATCTGTTCGCTACTACAGACAATTGTTATCTGCCCGATCTTACAGGAGGTTATTGAAGATCAAGGATTATAAAAAATGTGTGCGTATTCAGTAAAAATATAGTGTACAGTTGAAATCTGCAGATTACACTGCAAACGTGTCCCGTCGGGAGAACGACAAATGTTCTCCAAGACAGTTTTCAATATAAAATCTGTTCAGCAACACAAACAATACCATTGTTTCTTCCTAAATATAATATATCAACGTATTTACACTTCAGTTACTGTGTCAAATTAATATCATATCAAACATACTAAGAAACACATGCAATTCACGTTCGAAATTCAACGTCCGTCGGACGGTACCATTTTGTTACTCCGAAACCCACACTCAAGATAAATCCGCCTAAACTTTTAAAAATTCTACAACAAGACAATATATCAATCAAAATCTTGATTAATTGATCTGTCCACTATCCTCCATCGAAACTCACTATGCTTGTAAAACAATTCTCCCTGTCGACAAGCCATGAATAAACATTATTATTCGAAAAAACACAGTCAACGCATCGAACAGTCTGTCAACCGACGTTCTCACAGCCGGCACTCCATTATACACACAATGAGTTTCTCGGAACAGGCGATGTACGGGATGTTCCCGCGTCGGCAAACGATCCGTCGGCATTTCAGCCTTCGGCTCCGTCGGGAGAACGTCGTTGGAACACGGGGATAACTCGAAGGTCGAGTAGACAATCGAGAGGAATCCTCTAAACGTCCGTGGAAATTTTTTTCCCTCCCCGCAGAAGGTTTCCTTCCGTCAATACTCCAATTTTTTTGGTATCTCCGGGCATTAGGCGGGACCTAATAGCGATCCAAGGCCGTGTCGTAACGATCGGCCCGATTTTTTCCTCTCTTCCGCAACGTCTCCTCGCCGTGACCCGACACGACCGTTTGTCCCCTCAGTTTTCGTTCCAACGGCGCGTCGAGCTGACGCGAATTTGAAAATCGTGCGGTCCGATCGAAGGTTTCGCGTGTCAACCGACGCGACGCGACGCGACGCGAGGCGGCGTCGCCATTTTATTTTCACAGCCCTGGACGCTCGCGATGGAGTCGAAGGTAACCTTTAAATTTCTGAGTCAGACTGTCCGAAGCGATGAATAATTTATTAATTGCGTCGCAAGTGTCGCGCGTAACACGGAAAAAATGTCGGCAACACGGATCGGGACGAATAATTAGATAAAATGAATTCGAAGATGAATGAAGTGCGAATAAAGTACTGCGAGCCGAGCGTAATCTTCACGGGCTAGGTTTAGGGGCCAAGTTGCTGCCAATCTTAATTTATGTAGCGTGTAATTGTTCTTGGTTGCGCGAGTGAATTAATCGGAAGTTTTATCATACGAGTGGTTGAGTTTTTGCGGCTTTCGCTTGAATTTTTTCTCATCGACGATTCGGTTTTGGATGCTTTGAAAAACACGCTAGAATTTTGGCTAATTATTCATGGAATCTTGTTCGATTTCAGTGGTTTTTAATTGGCAACCGATTTGGACGTTTCTGCGAAGCTTTTTCGATGTTTTCTTCGGTTCTGTCTTAAAATGACTAGACTAATGGGACAACGGGATGAAATTGTTAATGAGATTCTTGCTGGAACATATAGACGCAGACGTCCGATCGAGTGAAACGGAATTTTTGATAGCGAAACTTTAGGTGAAGCTAAATGTTCGCGTCTTATCTGCAGTGTGCCTTGTATATTTTAATTTTTATCAGTCGAGAGCGTGTTTCGCATTCCTTCCTTCGAACACTCGGGATTTATCACATTCGTACGACTAATAAAAATTGTCTATCGCCGGAAATCGTTTCTTTAATTCGCATGGGAATTGTAATACAGGTTACGCCATGGTTCAATTCAAGATCCGTTTTGTTTCTCATTTTTCTGAGCCCATCGAATTCCCTGGATTTACGATTATGTTCTTTTTACTATGTAAGAAATAATATTCTTCACAACATAGACGTCTAAACCGTTATTCCGACGTCTTTAAAGCTTCCAATTGTAAAATGATCAACCCTTTAACGTACGCGCCGTAAATTACGAAAGAATGATGTAAAATTTCCCACACACAGCTCTCGAATCCAAGGGAATCTATTATTACTGTAAACTGTATATGTACCAGACTTCCGCCGCAAGGAATCGAAAGCTATCAATCCCGAGTCGCCAATCAAACGGCACTAACTCGAACAATTAATTCAAAATTAGTCGCCCCGCGCACACTTCTCAAGAAACTCTCGCGTCAAAGGGTTAATAACCACGTCAACTACCGTGACACCGAGCCGGCGACTCAATTAAATTCGCGAACCGACGGTTCCATCAGGGTGACGTCGATAACGAATACTCGCGAAACGAAACTCTGGAGAACGGCTTCCTATTAACACTAGAAGCACCGGACGTTTAATAGTATTAGCGTGTAATCCTTAGAAAAACTACGATAATAGATTCCTCTCGGTTTCTCCATATTTTCAACTATAGTATCCCAGCGAAACTGTTCACTTTTTAAATTACTTCGGACAATTAATACTTTCAAGAGACGAATAACTGGGAAATAAGTGAATTAAAACCCGCCATTTTGACGGGCGCGGTAGATTCCAGTGTTAAATACCCACAATAACGTCTCTAGAGACGTATGAAGATCTCCGAGCCGCGATCGTCCAGCCGGAAGAGCGATTTTTTCGAATGCGTAATTTGATTACCATATTCAGCGTGAAAGTGTTTCTACCTTTCCGCGCGTCGTTATTGCAATATTCAAGAAGGCGCACGGGCCGAAGGTATAGGTAATGCAGTCATTCCCGGCGTGTTTCAAACGTTAACATCTAAGAAGGGAAAGAGAGAAAAAGAGGGAGAGAGAAGACAGACGAAGAAGCGACTTTAAACGTGTCATTTTTGTCCGCAGGTTTCCCCATGTGGCGAAGAAGAGTTATCACTATTCATTCACCGCCCCACCTACGGCCCATCAAAGGTGAGTGCGTACAATAAAGGATAATTTACAACTGGGGCCCCGCGCGAAGGGAAGACAGACAGACAGAAAGAAAGAGAGAGAGAGAGAGAGAGAGAGAGACGAGAGAGAGATGATACTTAATTGCAAAGGAACCAGTCGAACGCGAATAACGCGGCCGTAACGAACGGTCTAACGAGTGGGAAACCGAGATTCGCGCCGTTATCGCGAACGGGATCGGCCAGTTCGATGAATCGGTACTCGCTAATTGCGGGGCATATTATTAATTAATTAACCGACGCCCGCGCCCTCGCGCTCGCGCGCGCAGGGCGTTTCCCACGGCGAAATTGCTGCCAATTAATTAACCCGGGATACACTCGCCCGTTTTTCTCGCCGAAACGCGATCCGCCGGACACTGTGGATGGTCCTCCGTGTTTTTGCACGGTTTTTCGGACGCTCGTGTGCTTTTTGCCCCGGCCATTCCACTGTTTTTCTGCTGCACGGCCTTCGAATAGGCTTTATATTCTTGTCATTGGATTATCAAGTTCTCGGGATAGATATTGCGTTTTTTACCGGTGCCTTTTATTGTCACGCTGTGTTCATTGAGCTACATTGGTATTTATAGATGTAATTATGTAACAGTACGAGGAAAAAATAATTGAGGTCGGGTATGCAGAGCGAGATTGGTTTATAACTGAAATGTAAAGAGCGATACTACAATATGTTGAGTTACTCGTATGCAATGTTCGTCGATTAAACGGGAGCCTAAGAAACAGTCTTCTTGCATCTCCGTACGTTCCGTAAGCTGTGAATATTAATTCCTTATCCATTCATTATCATTAATGATCCGTTGAATATGAAGAATTCCATTTAACCGGGAAGAAGTTTCTAGGAAGCTATTTCTGCCGAAGAATCCAAAGCTTGACTGATGAATATTCAGAACAGTTCCGAGGCGACACTTTTTCTGCAGCAGGTAAATCACAACTCTGTTTGCCGAGTTCCCAGCGAGGGGTAGGAATTTCGTGGCCACCTAACATTTTCATTAACATTCTACATAATTCGCTGAATAGCCTTTTAACGATCATTTAAACAATTCCACTTCCATTTAATACAGTTCAAAATATTCGAAAATTAGCATTTATTCTTCACAATTCGCCCCATAAATTACCATTGAGAGTGCAACGAATTATCTTGGAAACTCAGTTTCAAACGTCTCCTCGAGAAACCTGCTCAATAGGAAATTCCGCTAAATAAAGGACGCCAGAACACGGAGGCGTCGTGGATGCATAACTTCCACGGTATAATTTCAAGTATTTTTCATCGCATCGATAATTCAAATTCCCGCGGCCGGGGGTTGCGTCGCGTGTCGGCCATCGCGGACAGATTAAGCACGTTCAGCCGTTCACGATTCTGTAAACGGCCGCGGAGCGTACCGGTTTTCCCGAGCCGTGTTGGTTCGGTATCGTAGGGCTCCGCTGCATGCCGCTCATTAAACGCGAATTTGTCGACGTCGTTCGCCGTAAATCTGTTTCGACGTAAACGCACTGGCTCGGGCCGAGCCGCGCATTACGTCCCCGGCATGATTAACACGCGTATCGTAAAATTCTAGCGGCCGAGGCTAGCCCGACGACAGCGGTCGTGTCTCGTCCGACGCGACGGGCCGAGATCATAGAAACGGCGAACGGAAGCGAGAGCCGTCGTCCGTTTTTTCCTTTTCGTCTGTTTAAGTGTCTCGCGGGAAAGCGTCCCGCTGCTAATTATTATGTAACTCTTATTATTCGCCGTTTCTTCCGAGTGTCTATAAATTAGTCACAATTATATCGTTCCTTTTACTCATTATTAAACGAACAGTTTCTGGAAACGTTGTTATTAGACGGTAATTAGCTGACGCCGGACGCTCGCGTATTAATGGCCGCTCTTGATTCGCGGGACACGGCGGAATGAAAGTTTTAATGGGAACGTGACGAAACTTCTAGCAGTAAGAAACAAAATCCTAGCGAATTTAGCTTTTTCTTTGCGAATGCTCCGCCTAGAACTGTGAATTTCAGTGAATGCTTTTGCTCTAATGCCTGTTTTGATTTGTTTAAATTAATCGAAACAGATGATTACTGTGAAATTATGGTATTCCGTGGTTCCGGTTGAGCTAAGTTGGTCGAGAATCAATTTCATAAGGAAACGATGATATTGTTATGGAAATTAGCAAGATACGAGCAAGATATTCTGCAGTTACTATGTTATTGTTTCGTCGACGACTCCTAGCTGCGAAATTGATCCGGATATTCGATGTTCGAGCGGACCATGAGAATGTTTCCTGTGTCGTCCCTGTGTTCCGCGTTTACGAAAGTTCCATTTTATTATCCGCGGCCAACGATGGGTACTACAGGGATATTCACACGTGGTTTGTTTGATGGGGCTATGAAATCCACGTACTTTCCACCCCTTCACGGTTAATTCGCCTAATAGAGGACCGCGCTTCTTCCATTTTCCTTGTTTGCGTTGCTTTGTTTCGTCGGTGCCACACGGGCCTCGGTTTATAGTAATATCCTTAATTTAGGGAGGTTTCATTGAGTCTAGGTATTGCCAGCTGGCATTGTTGTTCGAAGTGGTCGTTCCAGTTAACGCGAACTGTCTGTGTAATACACGAGATCGAACAATTAGGGCGTCATGTCCTTGGAGATCTTGGGATTAATCACTAGAGGTTAAATGCTGTGGAATACTTTAGATGATTATGATCTAATTGAACGTTTCATTTGAAGGGCCTTATTTTTTATAACCATTTTAAATCATCAAATATTTCTTACAGGCGAACATGCAATTTGTTAATCTCGTATAGCGTCAAGATTCTTCAAAGAATCACTTTCATTGGAAAGTTACTTGGATTGCTCGCTTTTCCATTTAATTAGAATTATGTGCATCGTATGTGAAGAAAATGTTAGTATATAATTACTTGCTTGATTAGGAGTTATAAATTATTAATTAACATTATTAAGAATGAATATTATTAATTTACACAGGAATGTTGGACAGTTTGACGAGTTTACAGGTTGTCTTGAATGTAAGGACTGATTTTGTCTCAGAGTTTCTTCCGACCCTTTGTGCCTCGATCTCCGACTGTGTCTAACTCTGGTCCAGGGGGAGGCTACCCGGCTTCCCCTCGAGGCCGAAGGAGTGGAGCAAACAGGTCCGCGAAATCGAGCACATGTGCCTAACCGTAAATTTGCAGGGACACACCTTCAAGGGTTTTAGGGTTCCAAATAAGGGCTGCTGGAATATGGTATTAGTCAGTGCGTTATGTTCGACGGTCGAGATAGGTCGTCGTGTCACGCGTGCCGGGATTTTCAATCTCTTCTCGCCGCGCATTCGTGAAAGTTGATCGAGAATAAAAATTAATAGACTTTGATTGTTCGTGAAAGTTACTTCCGTAAATCGTATATCTGCTTTTTGCGTGGTTCGTGACGTGCGACGGACGGCGAGGCGGTTGAACGATGTGTGGCGATGGGAAAAATGGTATCACAGGTGAAAAAACCATAATTACGACTTATTGAATCACTAAGATTAACAGCAATTTAATTTTGAATATCGAAAGTAGTACCGAATTTTCTCTATTAAAGTTTGATCATTCAACTTTATACTGTTACTGTGCTATTGCTGTAAGTACTATCGTTGTATCATAGCTATATTATTTCTGTAGCATTGCTATACCATTACTAAACCATTGTTATACCGTTGCTACACAATTCTATCGCCAGTTTCTCAAATACCATAATTATTCGTCAACCCAAAGAGCGACCCTTAATCGAAGGATTCTCGTTTGCAAAATACGGCAGTGCAAGGACGAAAAAAACAGCCAGGGCCGCGACAATCGAGGATACACGCCCAGAAAAATGTCCGCGATCCGGCGTCGAAGTAAATATTTGTTTACCCCTAAATCATCGCGACGCGCAAGAAGATCGTAATATCATCGAGGTAGTTCGAAAGTACCGTGATAAGCTGACGCGGCTTATTTATAGCCAGTCGTATCTTCTTCCCTCCTCGATTCATTAAATTAATCCCCCGTGCCCCGCGGCGATATGACGTATCCTGGATATTATCCGCGCCGGCAACAAAAGCCGCGGGGCCGTTTTGTTGCCCGTTGCATAAACAAAGCGATACAACCATCGAGAAAACGATTTCCAGCGATCCGCGGCTAATTAACGTTTAATGCCCGACGGTTATTATCGATCGTTACCGTTCGGTGGATCGGTTCCGCGACGCGCGCAGCGATCACCTGGATCCCGAATCTTGGCGACGAGAAAATGGCGCCCGCGATCCGGGTTCCGGCCTCACGCGAAATCCTCCCGAACGGACCTTCGTCTACGATAATTAACCGAATCGGTTCTTGTTAGTCGAACCGTTCAATTGAATAACGATTGTCCATTATCAGCGGCGAACCATTCTACCTAACTTATATAGAATAATGTATCTGTAGAATAATCTAACTCGAACGGTAATGCAAATAATTCCGTCCGTTCGTTCTCTCGATTGTGCTGTTTCAAATTACTAATTAGTCGATTAAACTCTTGCTGCCATAAATCCCTGTTCGATCGACTATTACACTTACTTTTCCGCGAATCTGGGCCATCCGTGCAATGAATATTAGTCCCGAACAATTAGTACCGTTTATGAATGCGCAATTTCCTATTAACAATTAAACCGGGTGTATAGGAATCGTGGAATTCGACGGCCGTAAAATTGATTTAGATTCTCGTAATGGACGTAGTAAAAATCTTGATTGTTTTGCGCGCCGAATTTCTGAAGAACCAGCAGAAGTATTTGTTTCATTTCATGTAGGTACATAGTTTAATGTAATTGTGTTCGAGTAGAATTTTCATTCGTTATTTCCGTGTTGAACCTTTTATTCGTAGAAAATTTCGATCGACGCGTTCGTCGGCCGATGTTCATCGCGAGTTCGGTAAATCGGTGCCGGCTCCGAGCCGGCCGGCCGGCCGGCCGACCGGCCGATTGCAAAACTACTGATTTGTTGC